CCCCGCCTGTCTCCTTTCGAGCTCCGCCCACTTACGCGTACTTCCCACTGAATGCGCACTTGGAAAACTCCAAGAAAAGTCTCATTTTTGCCATTTTCATGCTCGGAAAAGCCCACATATGGGTTCCTCATGACGAGAAGGTCCCGAAAATGTGAAAAACTGGAAAACGAAATACTGCCGAGCAGCTGCCTTTAAACATGTGTGGAAGTAACATAACAACATACAACTGCGCAGTGTAGGATATCAGGCTATGCAGAAACACTACGCTTCCATTTCATACACAAAACAACAAGCAAAAATGGCGCAAGGTTGCTGGCAAAGACGAATATAACTGAACTCAAAACTCTAAATTATTACCGACGAAGGGAGTTTAGAGAGCTCCCATCTACTTGAAGAAAAAACTGCTTCGAATGCACTTGAGCTATGTAGAGGAATGCAAAATTGAACTAAGAAAAAGCATTCTTCCTACCTTCCTAACGAACACACTCGGACAACATAGAAATGATAACGTACCTCCGCAGCAAGTGCCCTGTTGCATGCAAGGAAATAAGCAGCTTTTGCATATTCTCTCAGGTTTGCGTAGACAGTTGCGAGCGAATTATAGGCTCGAGCCTGTCCAGCACAGTCATTCATACGTCGGGCTAGTGATAGGTGACGAAGATGATAAGTTTTAGCTGAAATAGTAGCTTTAACATCCTGCGCAGTAGAACCTATATGACTCTGATACTCGTGCGCAAAACAATGCAATCTCATAGCTATATTTCGAAAAACACATGCAACAAGTCCTCCCATAACTGATTATTTGAGACGTTGCTAGAACCTCAAGAAACTCACCAGAACTAAACTGACGCAAAAGAGATGAAGAGCATGCAATGTAGAAGCAACATTGAGCTTCGCGTACCTTGTCGCCTTTCTCAACAACCAAATTCATAGCTGATCTGAAATTCTCGAATATTACTACCAACTGGAGCTAATGCAAAAGCACATCTCACATGTAACATTCTATCCCTTTGTCTACTTCCGATAACAAGACATGGGCATTCCCAAGGTTAATGTAAGCTCGGTATTTCGCATTATGGTCTCCAAACTGGGACGCTATCATCAACCTCTGTAAATAGAGCACAGAGAGGTTAAAGTACAAACATTTGATCAAGGATAGCGCTAGCCTAAGCATAGGCCCTGGCCATACTTCGCTCAAAAGCGCCCAAAAGCG